GCACGTTATCAAGTTTGCAGAAAGAATCGTCCAGTTCTGTATGTTTTGGCTTCATATATGAAAAGAAGCACATTCAGCCTCTTTGGAAATTCAGGGATCTGGCACCAGAACATTTCTTAACACATTCGCACTTCAGTTGTTGGGGATGCTAGAGAAGCATTTAAATCATAATAAGCACTATTAACTATTTGGAAAAAGTAAGCAGGTGGAAGCTACTGCTGCCCAAGGCCGACATTGGCTGCTGATAATGTGCCTGATTAGGTGGTTCTTTCTCTTTTTTTTTTTTTGAGATGCAGTTTCACTGTTGTTACCCAGGCTGGAGTGCAATGGCACGATCTCAGCTCACCGCAACCTCTGTCTTCTGGGTTCAAGCAATTCTCCCGCCTCAGCCTCCCGAGCAGCTGGGATTAGGTGGTTCTTTCTTACAGAAGAAAGTGAAGTGAAGCCCCCCACTCTCACGCCTCAGTTAGAGGACTGGCTGAGTAAGAAACCTCTCCGAGAACCTCGCCGTGGCTGTGCACTGCATCCACGTCAGGCCCCCTCTCCTCCCCTGCTGCCTGCCCAGCGCTTAGCCTGGCTTCCTCACTGGCTGATATTGAAAGGCAGTTCTCAGCTGAGTAAATAATGTAGGTATGAAGCCAAGGCTCTTGAAAGTGAGTTAATCCTTTCTCCGTCAAAATTCCCAACAACAATCTGGGTTTGTTTAACCATTTGGTGTTGGTATTTCTGTTCTTTTTTATAAACACAAAGAGAATCACCCGCTTTGGCCACTGTGCAGAGTGGCCATCACGAATGCACATGCAGCGACTACTTCTGTTCACAACAGATGGCCACATCGCACCCTTCACACTAGATGAAGGTGGCTGGGTGTGGATCACACCTGTAATCTTAGCACTTGGGGAGGCTGAAGTGGGAGATCATTTGAAGCCAGGAGTTTGAGTTCAGCCTGGTTTCGACCCTATCTCTACAAAAAAATAAAAATTACTCAGGTGTGGTGGCATGCACCTGTAGTCACAGCTACTCAGGAGGCTGAGGTAGGAGGACCACTTGAGCCTGGGAGTTTCAGGCTGCAGTGAGCTATGATTGAGCCACTGCAGCCTGGGTAACAGAAAGACTCTGTCTCAAAAACAAACAATGACAGAAATAGAAGAGGGTGGTCATTACTCTGCGTGGTCATTGCAGAGAACTTGGTGAGCGCCCCATGTGTGCTGAGCACAGGGCTAAGCTTTTTGCATGTGGCAGCTCCTTTAATCTCACTACGTCTTTGGAGTTGTAAAAAGGTAGGTATTATGATGATGTTCACTTTACAGATGAGGAAACTGAGGTGCTGAGCAGTTAAGTAGTTGTTACTAGAGTCAACCCTTAGAGACCATTGTTCAGATATGCCCATTATTACACTGAAACCTCCCCAACAAAAACGCCCTCTCGATGCCACATGCTTGCTGGTCTGCAGCTGTTTCTAAAGTCTAAGTCTCTGAGCAGGCAGGGGCCCAAGGAGGGAATCGTGGGAGGGAAAGCCTGGCCAGGGTCCCTGTGTTCTTGCCACCTGGGGACTCGCCCTCCTTTACCTCTCCCACTGCCATCTGACCTGAGGTTACTCAATATCACAGACACACAACTCTAAACTGGCCTGCGGGTCTTTGTCCCAGGTCATCACCAGTTCATCCATCTCTCTGCAGGGGCTTGCACCCTGCCATGACCTGGTGTGGGGAGTGAGAAGGGGAGGGAGGTGTTTGCAAAGTGACCTACAAGCTTCCAGTTACAATCTCCATGAACCTATGTGATGATGCACTACAGCATAGGGACAGCTCCGTGTTTGCACCACAGAGCTGGGAAATGTCCTCTTCCTGCCAGTTCTGGAAAACATGCTCCCAGAGACTTTCTGCCCAATGCTGAGCTTTCCTGAGTAATTTTCTAGAGTAATACAATTTGTATTTTTGATGACTACACTTTGAAGTAAGTTTTCTGTGTTCCTCTATGTATTTATTTATTTTTGAGACAGAGTTTTGCTCTTGCCCCAGTTGGAGTACAATGGCGCCATCTTGGCTCACTGCAATCTCCACCTCCCAGGATCAAGGGATTCTCCTGCCTCAGCATCCCGAGTAGCTGGGATTACAGGTGTGTGCTACCACGCCCAGCTAACTTTTCAATTTTTGTAGAGATTGGGTTTCTCCATGTTTGCCAGGCTGGTCTCGAACTCCTGACCTCAGGTGATCCACCCGCCTCAGCCTCCCAAAGTGCTGAGATTACAGGCATGAGCCACCGCTCCCAGCCTGTGTATTTATTTAAACATCAACTTGTGCTTAGTTAGAGCCGTGTTTCGTCATTGCCATTTGTGTGTTACCTCTTCTGCAAGACCATGAGCTCCGTGGGGAAATGCATCTTTTGCATCTCGGTGGCCGGGTTTTGAGCCAGAGGAGGTGCTCAGAAAGTGCTTGTTAACCAGAAGATAAGGCATTATGGGATATCTGAGATTAAAGTGGCAGAACGGGAGAGGAGAGAAAATGGGTCATCAGCAGATATTTAGAAAAGGAAATTCTCTCTTGTAATCATACCCAGACTTAAACCATCACCCCGGGAGCCACAGGTAATACATGATTTAAAAAGTCAGAATAAAGTATCTCTTTACGACCTCTTTCAGTGCTGCCATTTTGTCTTCACGCTGTCATTCCTCACTCACGGTAGACACTATCCCTCCTTTCCAGCTTTCCCACCTCCTCCCTGATCCTAATGCCGGATTCGGTCTCATCCTGCACTGGTTGATGGTAGCGTACAGTTGATTATCTCAACTCTTCTTCCCAGTGGCCTGTTTCGGCATCTTTAAGGGATTGTCATCATTTGCTCATGGCTAGAAATAAAGGGATCTCTTTGTTATGAGCTTCTTAAGAAGGATCAGTTCACATGGGTTATCAGTGACAGCAAACCACCTCAAGCCAAAAATAATGTGGGGGTGGGCAAGAGGTTTGTCTATCCCACCCAAAATGTTCAGGCAACTTACTCCAGACACCCAAATTATGTTATTAAGATCTCATCTCTTGTTCTAAATGTCTTTGGGGCAAAGTCTGGCCTGTGTTGGGTCTGTTCTCCACACAGACTCTGTATGCAAAGATGAGATGGATGCTGGCGGCCCCAAGCGTGTCCTATATCTCACACCTGCATGGAAGGGGAGATGGCATCCCCAGTAGCCAGCAAAGTCCTGGCGAGGACATGGCAGGTGGCGATCATGGGTTTGGGTGGTGTGCCCATTCTTGATCTTGACCAAGTCTAAGTTACAGGCCCACCCTAGGTCTGGGATGCGGGGGTGGAGTGAATGAAGAGAGCCCCACTCGAAGCCATTGGGAACATATACGCTATGGAGAGAGGGCTCAGGCTCCCTCAAAGAAGACATGCCAAACACAGAATCAGAGCTCCTTTCCAACAGCACGGTCTCCAACACGTCCTACTTCCTGGATCTAGGACAGACTTCCTACAAGAGGACTTTATCTTTCCCACCATTGTTCACACAGCCAGGTCTAGAGTCTAGGTTTCCTAGGTGCAGGTGTGGTCCTCATTCCTCATCCTACACCACTCCTTCACACAAATGCACACACACGTGCAGTGCACACTCACCACCGATCCCTGGTCAAAAGCACCTACAGCACAACTCACCATTGTGAAGACACGGAACCCACTGAACTACCATCGGCCAATGAGTGGTTAAGGAAAATGTGGGGTAGACACATCATGGAATACCACTCAGCCATAAAAATGAATTAAGTAATGTCTTTTGCAGTAACTTAGATGAGGCTGAAGGCCATTATTCTAAGTGAAGTCTCAGGAATGGAAAACCAAATACCGCATGTTCTCACGTATAAGTGGGAGTTGAGCAATGGGTACACAGGGGTATACAGTGATATAATGGACACTGGAGACTCAGAAGCGGGAGCAGGTAGAGGGGAGGGATAAAAAAACTACATATTGGGTGATGTACACTATTCAGGGGACAGTTACACTAAAATCTCAGACTTTACCACTGTACAATTCATCTATGTAACTAAAACCCACCTGTACCCAAAAGCTATTGAAATAAAAATAAATCAGTCAATAAAATAAAACACCCATGTCAGCAGCAGCTAAGTACATGAGTTCCTGGGGGCTTGGACAGCAGGCAGGCTCTGCTGACAGCTCCAAGCACAGGCCCTCAGCCTTGCGGCATACGGGGATCTCTGGGGGATCTTTCAAAACCCCATGCCTGGTCCCACCTCAGAGACTTGGATCTAGTTAGCCTGTGCTGCTGTAATCTTTAAGGCTTTCCAGGTCGATAGCAGGTGTGGCTAGAGTTCATTAGCACTGCTTTGGATGGAGTTGACTGGTCTGTAGAGATGCGATCTCAAGTTCGATGGGGGCTTGGCATGCTCCATTCAGTCCTCCAGTCTCTCACTGGAGGAGAGAAAGAGAAGGCGAAGGAGACCCGCAAACTCCGCTCTTCATCCTTTCCAGGTGCCAGGCAAGGACCTTGCAGCCAGGAAGGGAAGGGCCAGAGTGAGACAGGGCTCTCTGGCATTTGAATAAGGTGTATGGGAGAACAGAGGAAAGAGGGATTACCTCTGTCCTGGAGACTTAGAGAGAGCCTTCCAGAGGAGGTGGCATTCCACGGGGACCTGGAGGCCTGTGACAGAGTCAGCAGCACAGGTGATGGCACAGAGGTGGGCTATGCTGATGACATGAGCTATGGGGTCTCAGGGCATGTATGCAAAGGAGGCAGACTGAGCTGGGTTCCCCCTTATCCCTGAGGTCATGGAGAGCATGGGGGATTTTTTTTTTAAGTAGAATTTCAGGATCTGTTTGGTGTTTTGTTATTATTATTTTAGAGACAGGGTCTCACTGTGTAGCCCAGGCTGAAGTGCAATGGCATGACCACAGCTCACTGCAGCCTCCAACCCTTGGGCTCAAGCCATCCTCTTACCTCCCTCCTAAACAGGTGAGACAACAGACGTGAACCTGGTTTGTTTGTTTGATTGGTTGGGGTTTTTTTTTTTTTTTTTGCCTTTTTTGTTTGTTTATTGGCCCTTGACAATGTTAAGGTTGGATCATCAAGGGCAAGGAAAGCTTTTGGAAAGCAGCTACTTTAGTCCCAGCCAGAAATGACAGAGGCCTGAACTGACAGGCGAATTAGACACATTCGATCAACAGTTCCTGGGTGTGGGTCACGCAGGCCAAGAGGGACACAGGTTGGAAGGGTTAAAGGTGGATTCAATGGGGCCTGGGGACAGTTGGATTTGAGGAATTAAGGAGAGGAAGGAAAAAAGGCCCACTTCCCCATGCCCATGCGATAGTGACACTGTGAACAAAGACCAGCCATCCTAGAGGCTGCGGGCTGAGGAGCAGGCTGACAAGAGCGCCTGTGACATGATGAGGTTGCAGTGCCTGCGGTCATCTGGGTGGAGAGATCGTCTTTTCCTCTGTGTTCTCCTTCCTTCCAGTAATATCTGTCACCCTTTTGTCAATGCCATCCTTGGAGGGATTCAGAAGGGGCATTGGGTGTTCAGAGTGAAGGGACTCCGTTCTCTGGCTTGATGTGGATGCTGAGGGCTGGTCCCAGGACCCTCCTAGTGTGATGAGCGTCATGGCCTCTTCTGGCCCCACTGTTTGCTCCTCTTGCCCCTGAGAAGCCCTGCATCCACACTGGCCAGCTCTGAGAGGCCAACAGAACCAGAGGGTGGTGAAGGAGACCCACAGTGCAGGGAGGACGGCACAGAGGTCACCAGACGGGGCTGCAGCAGATGGCCACAGAGGCACCCGATGTGGGCTTTTTTAAAAACATGACTTGTTCCAAGGATGTGGCTTTCTACCCTCAGCAGGTAGGGCATGGGAGCAGCTGATAGGCTGTGTCATTGTGTATGCATGAGCTCCACGGAGATGTGCTTTGTGTTCTGTGGAAACACACCCTGCTCTAGCTTCTGCATTAGTCCTGCTCCTCAAAAGGGAGACAGAACTCCTCCTGAGGAAGCCTGCAGTGCCACTGGGCAGGGACAGAGGAAAGAGCTCAGGAAGGGACAGAACTGAAATAATCGGTGCCACCCTGAAACTCGCTTGTGGATGGCAGGTGAGGAGGCAGGAGGGTTCCTTCCCTCCCAGCCGGCCCCTCTGGCTCCCTCCTCTCTCCCCACCCACTCCCCTCTCTCCTGGCCCCCTCTCTGAATCCCTCTTCCTTCTTCCCCTGTTGCTACCCCATCTCTTCTCTCCCTCAGTCATCTTTAGAGAACTTCAGACACAGAAAGTTGCTGGGGTGGCACCTCTCATGCACACTCCATTTCTCCATCTCAAAAGAAAGTTCTTGGACTAGACCATCTCTAATTCCTCCCAGGTCCATCATCCAACCCCTGCTCGAGCCCAGCCCCGTCGCTAGTCCGTAGCTCTAAAAAGATGTTTTACAGGTCCTGTCTCCCAGTAATTCTAGATTCCTGGTAAATCCCTAGTCTTCCTAAAATATCTTGAAATTTTTCTCTAGCTTTTCGGTAGGAAAATGTTACTGCCATAGGCACACAATTGACTTGCTTGTCATTTCTCCTTCCTGGCCAGGTAAGGGCCAAGGAGGCAGCACTTTGCTTCTGCTTCACTGCTAAGGTTCCCATGTCACTGATAACACTCCCAGAAGGTACCCATGTCACTGGTAGCATGGATATAAAGCCACCAAGGCATGGAGGAGCCTTATCTTAACTGGGGTCAAGTTCAGCCTCGCCTTATCTCTGGCCACACACTAAATGCTGTGTTGTGATCCTGCTTCTGAACTTGCCTGGACCTGAGAGACTCAAAGGGAAGCTTTTTCTTTAATCTCCTGTCACAAGCAAAAGGCATTTCACTGAGGTTGTTATTCAGGGACATCGTGGTCGCAGGTCTCTTAGGTGAGGGACTTCCAACAGGAGTTAGTTGAGCCACACCAGCAAGGTTAGTTCCAGGCCCGTTGCTTTTTTTTTTTTTTTTTTTTTTTTTGAGACAGAGTTTCACTCTTGTTACCCAGGCTGAAGTGCAATGGCGCGATCTCGGCTCACCACAACCTCCGCCTCCTGGGTTCAGGCAATTCTCCTGCCTCAGCTTCCTGAGTAGCTGGGATTACAGGCATGCACCAGCATCCCAGCTAATTTTTTTGTATTTTTAGTAGAGACGGAGTTTCACCATGTTGACCAGGATGGTCTCGATCTCTTGACCTCGTGATCCACCCGCCTCGGCTTCCCAAAGTGCTGGGATTACAGGCTTGAGCCACCATCCTGTTGCTTTAAAAGTATCATGGGCTGGGCGTGGTGGCTCACACCTGCAAATCCAGTGTCTTGGGAGGCCAAGACATGGGAGGATTGCTTGAGCCCAGAGAAGTTCGAGACCAGCCTGGGCAATACAGTAAGACCCCAACTCTACAAAAAATTTTTAAAACTAGCCAGATAGAGTGGTGCACACCCATAGTCCCAGCTACTCGGGAGGCTGAGGGTGGGGGAATCGCTTAAGACCAGGAGTTTGAGGCTGCGGTGAGCTGTGATCATGCCACTGCTCTCCAGTCTAGGCAACAGAGTGAAATGCTGTCTCTATAAAAATTAAAAATAGAAATAAAGAAGATTCCCCAAGAGGAAACAGATGCTAACATGGGATTCCTTCTGAAATTCTCTGGGAGTTGGTAAATGATCATTATGGCTATGGCAAGGAGTCATCAGAGGGAGGCTTTATCAGTCACATACGTTATCGGACTGAACTTTGCTACTCTGGCCTGTTGGAGTCTGTTCCTAAAAAAAAACTCAAAATATATCAATAGAGGCACGTCTCTGAATCAAAGGTCAATCCAAAATTGCATTTAATCAAATGCAGTCACTTTCTAGGCTGGAGGTTGAAGACATACCCAGAGAAGGGGAAATGGGAAAAGTGAACTGAGCTGGCAGGAACGAACCATGACTAAATCCATCTCACTTCAGTAAAAACAGGCTGGAGAGTGAAAGCAAGTTTTAAAACCGAATTTTCCCAGCATGACTCAGGGATTGTCTTTCTTACGCCAGTTTTCAATTTGTTTTTATAGACAGAAGAATGGGGGCTCATAGCCCAACTCTAATCTCCAAAAGAAGAATGAGCCCATCTGACATATTCTGTGAGCACGCAGCTGAGGGGACTCTTCACCAAAACCTCGACAAACATTTGAATGCATTTTTTTTTTTTTGGAAAGGGAGGTAACGTCCAGTGGGTCTGTTTTATAATGCATTTGTGTAAGGGGAACGAAGGAGGAAATGGGATTTAAAAATAAAACTGTTTACTTCAGAGGCTGGAGTTATAAAAGCATAGGTTTCTCTTTCAGGACTCTCTGAAGTTGGAAAGTATGAATTACATATACTCATTAAAACGTTTTATGTTAAATCAAAGAGTAAAATTAGAAGCCATGTTAATGATTCAACCATGTAACAACTGGCCAACAGATGCTGAAAGCTTACGGTTAAGAGATTACATGCTTTGAGCTGACAGTTTACTGTATGTGTCCCTGGCAGAGAGGAGGTACGACAAACATATTATCAGACACAGAAAGTATGCAGCCCCAGAAAGAGGGGGCGTGCAAATCGGACTGCTTCCATGCTTTCAAAGCAGCACTTTCCCCCCCAAACTGATATTTCAGAGAGCTGGGGTTTTTTCTTTCCTTAAGAATGAAGAGTTAATCTTATCCAAGTTCACAGAGCCAGAAACCTGTCATATTAAGTCCCAGCGAAGCCCGACATTGTTTCCAACTTCCTTGCTTGAAACGTAGTTGAGATTTGCCGTGATCTGCTAGCTAACTAGCTGTCATGAAAATGGAACCTTTCCTCATGGCTTTGAGGGTCTCTGAGATTCCAAGCTGGGGACTGCTCTCCTGGGGGAAAAGCCTGGGACCATGAAGATAAGAAACCCGAGAGAACGGTCCAGATGGACTCTGGGTGGCTGGGCAGGGATGTGTGCACGTTCACCCTGCTCCAGGCGGTTACAGTTCTGGTCCCCAGCAAGGCCAGTCCCCACTTTTCCCTGTGGAAAAGTGGCCCAGGCTTCAAGCTTCAGAATTAGACTCCTACCCCTTAAAACTGCAACCCAGCAGGAAAAAAGAGAGCTGCAGAAGAGCTGTGAAGGCAAGGGGTCTCGAGAGGGAGAGAAGACCGGGGCTGCCTGTTAAGGACTGAGTGTGGAGAAATGTGACAAATCCAGCCTTTTTTCATCATGCCCCCTGAGCTGAGCAGAAGCAGGGCGGGTAGGGGATGATTCCCCTCGCTCCAGTTTCCAAGCTCCTTGCTCCTTTCCAAATTGCTTGCGGCAATGTAATTCTTTCCTTTGGGGACAGCTGAGCTCTGCTGTTTGTCTGGTTTCCAGGGTGTGCCCCTGGGTTACCCAGAGCGGGTGGAGCAGTGGGGCCGCTCTGGGATAGCCTTGCGGCAGACGCAGCTGACTGTCCTTGAACGGAACTGGCGGGTCCCAAGAAACCAAGCACGCGGCAAGAATTGGGGGTCCCACAGCTTCTACTCAGGCACCCCTGCAGAGTGTTTGTTCACTGCTAAAAAAAAAGTGCAGACATAGGAAGTGTCCCCAGAGGCCATTGCCTAGCTAGGCTACAAGGCCTTACTGAGCATCTCTCCTGTGCCAGGTTCCCAGTTCAGCTGACCCAGATCCTGCCCTTGGGGGCTCACTGTCTGGCAGGGAGACGCACAAGGACACCAGGGTGGCTGTCTGCTCTGTCTGGGGGCGGCCAAGGGACTCCCCATCTGCCCATCTCTCAGGATTTTTTTTTTTTTTTTTTTTGAGAGGTAGTTTCGCTCTTGTTACCCAGGCTGGAGTGCAATAGCGCGATCTCGGCTCACGGCAACCTCCACCTCCTGGGTTCAGGCAATTCTCCTGCCTCAGCCTCCTGAGTAGCTGGGATTATAGGCACGCACCATCATGCCCTGCTAATTTTTGTATTTTTAGTAGAGACAGGTTCACCATGTTGACCAGGATGGTCTCGATCTCTTGACCAGGAGTTTCTAACCTTTCCCCACCAGTCCAGTCTGTGACTGGCAAATTACCCATCATCCTTCCTCATTCAAAAGAGCCACCTTCCTGGGTGGCTCCTGGCTCTCTGAGCTTTCCTGATATCTAGAGAGAGGAGGGAAAAGTGTCTTTGTCACAGCTGACAGACAGAAAAAAGTGTCCAGCCTCTACAGCTGAGGTCAGGAAAACGGTGCTGACGTCGGCTGAGCTGGGAGGTGCGCTGGGTGAGCAGGCCTGGTGCCGCTGTCGCGTTTGAAGGCGTCGGGTGGACAGCTGTATGTCAGGAGGTGAGAGGAGATGGGCTGGATGGAGAGAGAAGGTTGGATTCACCAGCATTTGGAGAACCCAAAGGGAAGGGGATCCCCCCCAGAGAGGGCGAGGCCAGAGGAGGCCAGGCGAATCCCCAAGGGCAGTGAGGTCAGCCCCTCCGCCCGCCAGCCTGCAGGGGTGGCTCTGGGTCACGGCTGCAAGAGCAGGGTCCTGCTTTGCCACTTCTCATCTCCTATGGCCTTAGAAGCCAGGCCCCAGCTCACTTCCCCCTGACCACAACATTGGCTGCCAGCCGGTAGCTATAGTCATGGCCTATTGACCAAGTGCCACACAGGCCGGTGGCAGGAAGCTGCCGGTAACTCAATGAACAGACACCAGAGCTTGCAGAGTGGACTCCACGGCCTGCCTTGATTTCGGGTCCAGAGGACCGGCCCCGAACTACATAGTGCTGCAATTGTGCACAAAATGGGACCCTCTGCACCATGGTTGGGCTGACTTGGAGCAGCGAGTCGAACCAGCTTCCCTTCAATACCCAGTACCACTCACCGGGTTCCCTGGCTCCTTGCGGCACAGGCTCTGGACCGGCTCTCTCCAGCATCTTAACCCTAGCATCAAGCTTGGAAAAAGGGTTTCTCCACTCCTGGGCACCGTTCTCCCCCTTTCCTGGCCGTCTCCCGGTGGGTGGCTTGGGGATTGCAGACATGTGCCTAGGTCTCATTTCTTGAGGGCCATAGTCACATACCTGACCCAGCCACCGGGAGCCCTCTCGAGTTTTAGATTTCCATGTTATTCTAGAGGAAGCATTTCGGTCACCTCAATCCATACTGAAAATCCACACATCTGGTGTTCTGTGTGTGTGTCTCTCTCTCTCTCTCTGTGTGTGTGTGTGTGTGTGTGTGTGTGTGTGTTTTCTGAGCACATGACCAGAAAGGATCCAGGTTTTTGTTTGTTTGTCTGTTTTCGTTTTTGTTTTGAGACGGATTCTCACACTATTGCCTAGGCTGGAGTACAATAGTGCGATTTCGGTTCACTGCAACCTCCACCTCCCTGGTTCATGCAATTCTCCTGCTTCAGCCTCCCAAGTAGCTGGGATTACAGGTGCCCACCACCACACTCGACTAATTTTTTGTATTTTTAGTTGAGACAGTGTTTCACTATGTTGGCCAGACTGGTCTTGAACTCCTGACCTAATGATCTGCCTGCCTCAGCCTCCCAAAGTGCTGGGATTACAGGCATGAACCACCGCACCCAGCAAGGATACAGGTCTTAAACCTTCTCCCCAAGGAGGCAGTGTCGTGGTTAAAGTCTTGACAACCCAGCTCTACACCTTGCTGGCTGTGCGACCTTGGGTGTGATTTAGCTTCTCTGTAAAATGGGAATAGTAACGGTCCCTGGCTTATAGGGTAAAACGAGTTAATACGTCAAGTTCTTAGAATAGTGCCTGACACATAATGAGCCCTCACTAAGTCCCAGGGACTATTATTACTCCCTGCAGGAGAGTGATAAATGTATGCAGCCCTCACGCCTAAACCAGGCTGGAGCCAGAGTCAGAAAATAGAACATTTTACATTATTTAAGCCTGGCCACTTGCGTATGTAGAGTCTTGTGTCAAACTGCAGTATTAAGGGGTCAAAGGGAGACCTATTTTGAGTTAACTGAAGGATTTCTCTCTTATATTTTCGTTTAAATACAGCTTCTGCCAAAGGTGTACTTGGGAACAGGACGTATTAACATAATCTCATCCAGTGAATTAAATCCAGGCCTTGGAATGCAAAGAGAAAGAAGCCAGATGGGAAGGCTGGGTAGGGAGCTACACACAGTCTGCTATTTGATCTCCATCCTTAGACTTGTTTACACGTCCGCAGGCCTGTCACTTGAGGGGACCATCAGCTCCATCTCCCAGCCCCAGAGACCTGCTGTCCGGCGATCAGGAGGCATACTTCCCACGAGTTCTGGATTTCCCTGAGTCCACGGCTCCAGTCCTCCTTTACCTGCTGAGACAGTTTGGATGCTTGTCCCTCCAAATCTCATGCTGAAATGTGATCCCTGATGTTGGAGGTGAGGCCTGAGGGGAGGTGTTTTGGGTCATAGGGGCAGATGCCTCTGGAAAGACTTGGTACCCTCCCTCCCACAGTAATGAGTGACTTCTGCTCTGTTAGTTCACATGAGAGCTGGTTGTTTAAGGAGCCTGACGCCTCCCCTTTTGTCTCTCTTGCTCCTTGTCCTGTCATGTGATGTGCCTGTTCCCTCTTCCCCATTTGCCATGAGTAGAAGCTTCCTGAGGCCTCACCAGAAGCAGATGCTGGCACCAAACTTTTCTTTTTTTTTCAAGATGGAGTCTCACTTACTCTATCATCCAAGCTGGAATGCAGTGGTGCCATCTTGGCTCACTGCAACCTCCGCCTCCTGGGTTCAAGCAATTCTCCTGCCTCAGCTTCCTGAGTAGCTGCAATTACAAGCGCCCACCACCACGCCCAGCTAATTTTTGTATTTTGAGTAGAGACAGGGCTTCACCATGTTGGCTAGGCTGGTCTCGAGCTCCTGACCTCAAGTGATCTGCTCACCTCAGGCTCCGAAAGTGGTGGGATTACAGGCGTGAGCCCTGGCACCAGGCTTCTTATGCTCTTTGCGGAACCATGAGCTAAATAAACCTCTTTTCTTTATAAATTACCCAGCCTCGGGTATGCCTTGACAGCAACACCAAGCAGACTAACACACCTGCTCACTGTTTTTGCCACCTCTGCTCCCACCTGGGCACGATTCTGGAGCTGAACACAGCCAGGAGCCCCACGGCCCCCTGCATTAGCCTCCCTCAAAGCACAGACATCTGCGAAAGCAGAGATTTGAGAGACGTGTTCACTTTTGCTTTCTTATAAATGGTAAAACAAGTATTTAGCCACTAAAAAAAAAGTGTGTGCACTTAGACTTCTAATGTGCTGGCGTCTCACTTAGGATACGCTATGCTAGAGGCTTTGACTATCAGACCCGGAGTGTCCTTAGAGCCATCT